AAAAAAAATTTCAAAATTTACAACATTTCTCATATTAAAATAGGCATCAAAACAATAATATGTATTGAATTGAAACCATATGAAAAACGTTTGCTCAAAATTTGCTAGTTAAAAAGGCAGAAATCAATAAATTCTTAAATTACTTCAATGGTGATGCTTTGTGAAATTAATGTTTTTCTTATATAAAAAACACAAGAACTAGATAAGAATAACGACAGATATGACCAATGTCACGATTTCCGTAATGTCTTTATATAACTGGTATAGATGTAAGACAAAAAATGAAAAGTTTACATAAATATTAATAACATTGTTTACATCTCTGATGAAATTTCTTTTCAATTTTTTTTATTAATTTAGTTCCTTCTTTTAACAAAAAATATTTGTTAAATACTCCATTACTATGCCTAGGAATAAAAAAGGGAAAGGTGCTTCCTAAAAAAAAAAGGGTACACCGAGTTTTTAAAGGGCTTTTAATTAACACCGTAAATAGTTAACAAAATGTGTACTATTATGTAACAGCTGAATTCGATTCTTAACGACTGTAAAATTACCATCCTATACTTACTATTTTACATGTATATTTCAAAAAGTAGTTCTCACCAATTATCAAAATGAGAAAAATTTGTAGCTTACAAAGAAAAAGAAACATGCTAATAGAAAATCATTGTGCAATAGAAAAAAATATTGTTAAACTTGAAGGCTTTTTCCATAATTTAAACTATTAACTAATAGACGATTAATTAAAAATAAATATTGTATTGATGCGTTAGCGGAGTAGCACAGTATTGAGTGAAAGTGTTAACTCACATAAAGAAACTTGAAGATTTAAACATTTCTTTATTTCATACAGTACCATCTCGATACAGCGTACAACTGAAGATATTTAAACATAAATATATCTTAACAAAAATGTTGGTACGTCACCGGAAACAACAACACAGTGACGTGACATAGTGAAGAGACAAGACAGGAAGTCGACAAGAACACATGCTTACAACAATGCATGCTTTATATACAGATTCCATAATCATATGCACGGATGACGTCACTTACGTTATCTGAAAAGAAAATGTCTGTTGCCACCACACGACCGAAACTTAATTCTGTTAACTTAATGTATTCAGAGGAGTAACAAACCACTCCAACATNTTTTGTACTATTGAAGAATAGATAAATAAGTGAAATGTAGGTGTTATTAACATTATTTCTTAGTTACCATAAATTAAATTTACTTACACATTTTATTAAGAATTTTTTAACTTTTACGTTTTATAAGTGAAATGTAGGTGTTATTAACATTATTTCTTAGTTACCATAAATTAAATTTACTTACACATTTTATTAAGAATTTTTTAACTTTTACAGGGCATTTTATTTGCTTGGACTAAAAAATTGTTCTTATCGCAAAAAATTGTTCTACCAAATAATGTCTTAGAAGGCATTCAATAGTGTACAGGTTAGTTTCAAGATGCTTCAAATCAGTACTTTGTCGTTACTTTTTTCTCTCTTTAACCTACACGTTTTTAAGCTATGTTAACAAGGTAGGTTTTTAAATATGATTGTGTTTTCACAATCAAAATCTTACTGTAGTACTTAATAAAATTTTAAAAAAATATTTTATATACATCAATAAAATTTATAAATATAACACTTTTTTTCATTGAATAGGGAAGTGAACGATTAAAATGAAAACTAATAACCATTATTAAAATATAAAACTACATACAGTGACCTATCACTTCTGCGCCACCTCTTTTATGTGCCTTTTGCATATATACAAAGGTTTTCAAAGGCCCTTGATCATTATATAGGAAAATAATGATAATGATAATTCTTTATGCATCATTCAGAAAATAAATATCTCAATTCAGCACACAATTTTTTTAAAAGACTAAAATTTTGATTTTATTTTTTGTTTAAACAGAAAAAAATAATCACATATTTTAGAAAAAGTTTTCAGATTAAAGCAAATAAACAATCTTCGTTACAGATAAAAGGAAATAAGTTACTGGATCTAGTAATACAGTTCATTTTTCTTCCCTATGGGATATTTTTCACCTTCATTGTTTCTAGGAAGACATTTTTTTATATGAATTTGAGTAAGGTGTCTTATCTATCACACCACCCACATTGAAACCACCATATATACCACCCATATGCTTTCAAAATTTATCTAGCAGTGTCTTTCCCACCACCAATTAAAACGTTAGTTTTTGGTCAAGGAATGTAAAGCTATAGCAATTACTATTACTCAGTTTCAGCGAAAACAGAGATGACAAAAACACTACTCGAAATCATTATAAACAATTAGAAGGTTTAGCCGCTATTCACGACTATTTATAGTTTTATTCAGCTAGTGAAACTCTTCTATCTAGCTTTTCTTATTTGTATGAACTTACTGTTTTTAAAATCTTATGGACATTTTCTCTTGGTCCCAAAGACTGAAGCATAATGAGAATTCACTGTATTTTATAAATGAATTCGCTTAATACATTAAAATGTCCCTAATCCTTCTTTAAAATCATAATTCAAATAATAATAATTAAAATAATACTTCTCAAAATAATAAATTATTTATGCACAACAAAGATTCTGCAGATGATAAAAGTAATAAAACTTACAGAAATTCATAGGGGACTGGCACAGGTTTACCAACATTTGAAGAGCTAAAAGGAAAAAAAAAAGGTCTTATTTTTATGTAAATATTAACTTGAGATATACAGCAAAAATATTTTTCAGTAAACTTTTAGCAGTTTTTAGCAGAAATTAAAAAAAAAACATTATACAAAGGACACCCAGAAAGATTAAGTAAAAATTAGAATAATATTTTTTAGAAATTTGAATGAGAAAAATAACTTGTAGGCTACGAAATTTTATTAACAGAATCGTCAACAATAAAACAACAAAATTTTCTAAGTTCGGCTCTAGGATCACAAAATATAACGTCAGCGTTTAAAATCTTCCAAAGAGTTAATTGAAATTTATTTTTTTATTTCCACTAAAAGATTCTCCACAAAAAATTATTGTAAATTTAGCTTTCGCTGAATCTGAAGCTTTTCTTATTTGCATGAACTTACTGCTTTTAAAATCTTATACACTTTTTCTCTTGGTCCCAAAAACTGGTGCATAAGGGAGAATTCACCGTACTTTATAAATAAATTTGCTTAATACATTAAAATGCTACTTCTCAAAGTAATATTAAATTATTTATGTACATCCAAGATTCTACATATGATAAAAGTAAAAAAACTTACAGAAATTCATGGTGGACTGGCACAGGTTGAAAAGCTAAAAGGAAAAAAAAGGTCATATTTTTATGTAAATATTACCTTGTATACAGTAAAAAATATTTTACGGTAAACTCGTAGCAGAAATTTAAAAAGTATTACCCAATGGACACCCAGAAAGATTAAATAAAAATTAGAATATTTTTTAGAAATTAGAATGAGAAAAGTAACTTGTAGGCCAGGAAATTTTATTAACAGAATTGTCAACAATAAAAAAAACACAAAATATAAGGTTAGCATTGAAAATCTTCCTAAGAGTTAATTGAAATTTTTTTTATTCCCACTAAAAGATTCTTGGCAAAAAATTATTGTAAATTTAGCTTTCGCTGAATCTGAAGCTTTTCTTATTTGCATGAACTTACTGTTTTTTAAAATCTTATACGCTTTTTCTCTTGGTCCCAAAGACTGGTACATAAGTGAGAATTCACCGTACTTTATAAATGAATTCGCTTAATACATTAAAATGTCCCTAATCCTTCTTTAAAATCATAATTCAAATAATAATAATTAAAATATTACTTCTCAAAATAATATTAAATTATTCATGCACATCAAAGATTCTGCAGATGATAAAAAAAAAAAAAGTTAATTGATAAATCAT